ATTAAATTATATTAAATTATATTAAATTATATTAAATTATATTAAATTATATTAAATTATATTAAATTATATTAAATCATATTAAATTATATTAAGGTAAATTTTTACATACAGTATTTACTGGTAACATATTTTTTACAAATAATTTTTCTTTTATGTGTGACAGCTTAACTAAAATTTAAACATTTAAACTCTATGTTGTATAACATTTAGTTTTAATATCGCAGTATAATGACGCAAATATTTTACCCATGGAGATAATAAATTCCCCGATTAAAGTTAAAGCATCTATTATTTAAGATTATATATTTATTTAATGGGTGCCACTCCCCAGAATTAATTTAGTCCATCTTTAAAATATACACGTTCGAAAGGTTTCCTTCGACCTTATTCCCCTCAATGCAATTGCCCCAATGATTAATAATCAGCTTTAAAAAATTTTTTTTTTCGTTGATAAATATTCGTTTATGTCCTTTTAGCTAAGCACATTTAAATGTCGATTATGTTCATTTAACATAATTAAACATATTATTACGAAAGATAACATTAAATGCATTAACCAGAGCAGGCCAAAGTTTATCCTTTAATTACATTAAAAGAAAGGTCTGTTTAAAAAAACCAATTATACAATTACGAATCATTATTTTAAACTTTTCGCATGCATTAAGAATTATTTTATGCATCGACAATACGCGAACTCTTACTCATTAGTAACGCAGCGATATAATTGAACACAACCTTTTAGAATAAATTTTTGACCCTTTTTTTTTTTTCTCCCAATCTATTTGTACTCTTTTATACGTAATAGAAAGCATTTCCCTCCGTAAAATCACTCGGTAGTAATATATAATATTATAACTATTGGTGAATTTTCGAAACGCATGTCACGCCTAGGCGTCAATTCTTAAAATTTCATGTCCAAGTATGGAATATTATATTATATGTAAATTTACTTTTGATAAATAATTCGTTCGAAAATTTTGCCTTCTAGCTTTCGAACTATCTGCTGTACTCATTCCCTTCGGATCTTTTGCCATAATGAAATAAATTTAATGAATCACAACTTTTATAATGCAAATATGTAATGAATCATATGGTCAAATTTTATCTCCTTTACGGGAGAACAAATCAATCTATAAAAAAAAAAAACATCAGTTGTTTATAACCAGAAATACAATTATTATTTTTTAAAAAAAAATGCAGTGTTTCCTGGGGTAGGGCGAAATAACCGTTACAATGTAAATAATTTATTCGATCAGAATGGATAAATTAACAGTGTATTTTGTTAATTATAATGGGAAATATGATGTACTTGTACATCTATGCGCTGATCAACATTTAATTGATTACTTAATTAGATAATGAAATTTTGACCGATTTTTGACGTTTATTGAGACACATAATGGAAAGTCGATCGTTATGGTAATGAAAAAAAATTTTAAATTTAGTAAAATGAGTCGCATAAATAATGTACGCAAATTTTATTTTCGTGCGAATATCATTCTTTTTGAAGGTGAAAAGATACAATGATTGTGTTTTTTTAATAGCAAAATTTCATTTTCTACATTTTATAATTTTATTTTCAATACTGCGGTTTACATTTTATTTTTACTTTATTTAGTAATTAATAGAATTTATGAAACTTTTACGTATATGGTTTTAAGCTAACCCTGTATAATATCGATTACGTATTACTATAATTATAAAAGAAAAAAAAAAAATAAAGCATTCATTTACTATTTTCCTAGCATTTATAATTTCGTATATGGTGATCTTACAAATCTCAGTATTCGGAGTTTTAAATATTTTGCCCCTACTTACTATCATATTAAATAGGGTTTAGTGATAAATCGCCAAAGTGAATTTTTAATTTTGATTTATAATATATTTAATATTTACAGTAAGTAAATCACATTTATATGCAAGTTTAATATTATATATTACATTATACTGTAATATCAGATATGAATCAAATTATCTCAACAAAAAATATTAGAATACCGAGCAAATTGTTTGAATTATTATTTATATAATTGATAATATGTATAGATTGAAAAATAAAATTTTTACAATAAGGTTTATATAAATTGTGTGATTTAGAATAATTTATTATTGAGAAATACTGTAATTCTTTTATTTTTTTTATTTTTTTATAAAAATTGTCAATTGTAACCTAATTTAATCAATTCAAGGATCATGTGAAAGTTGATAGTTCATATAATTTAAATATGCTTAAATTTTAAATTAATACAATTACTATAATATCACACTTAGTATTTACAGTAATGATTTCAAAAAAAAAAAAAAAAAAAAGACAATTATATGCATTCATCCCTTTTTCTCAAAGTCACTTTAAACTACTACTATTTTTTGCAATTATCTTTTGTAACATAATCCTGAATTAGTCATATTTCTTTTACACTTTTGTTTGTTTTCATTTCACACTTGCATGCGCGGCTAACGTAATGAATTCAAAAAATAATCGGTCTCTAGGGGTGCCGAATGAAACACAACATATAAACAATGAAAAATACTTTAAATCTACTATGAACTCGTGTCTTCTCGGTAACTTTCTCTGTCAAACAAAGCAAATAGTTAAAATTTTCGCGAGTTTGGATTGGTACAAATTATAAATAATTTAATTAATTTTGGAATCAGCATGTTATCGGTAACCTTAAAATGTTTCGATGAAGAAGTTCTATCTCCAATAATTTTTCATCGTTTTTTTTTTTTTTTTTAGTTACATTTTCTCCAAAGTTAATCATTAATAAACATTTTGTGACCGTTTTTAGACAAAGAAATTCAAACTATTCTACCGATATACATATAGTGTGCGTAAAATGAAATTATGAAAATTACTGAGTTACGAGAGAGAAGAAATTATTAACGATATTGTTGTTTCGTAATAAATTATCTTGTATATAATACAAATTATCTCGATTTTATAGAAGTGTAACATAATATACAGGGGGTAGATCATATTTCATTATTATTTACCATATATAGTTTTCTCAGCATTACTAACATAGATCACAAGAAAATCTAAATGTTAGTTCATCTAGTCTATTGAGTAATCAGGCGACAGTTATCTTGGATTTAAAATAATGGTACAATGATAAAATAGGTAAATTAATATTACAAATTTCTTTTCAGCTTCCGAAAAAAAAAAGTCAATATTAATCAAGGATTAGCAGTCTACTGAGGGAATAAATTACTGTATAAAAATATTAGAAATATCTTCATCCAAAATAGGTATTTTTAATTAATCTATTTATCTTCGTTATATATTATCTTTCCTAAAATTTGGGGTGGTTTTTTTTTTTTTTTTTTTTTAGGGTAGTATATGTAGTATTCAAAATAATATTTATGGTGTAGATCAACGTTAATAATTAAGTGGTGATGGTATAACAATTATCACATATTCTTTATATAGATTTCAAGTAAAATTAAATAACATAATATAAAAAAAAAAATTATCCGATAATATATATAGTTCCTGAAAATACTGCTATTTCATGACATTGCAAAGCGGTTTCACAACCTGGAATTGGGACGAATCGATCATTTTTCTCTCAAAAACCTTTGAATTCCCACCTTTACATATTTTTTGCCGCCGAGTTAGACGTATCGGTGTGTCTTTATAAAGTAGTGCCGTGTACTTTTCTTTCTTCGGTTTTTTTTTCTTTTTATTTTATATCAGTCTCTGTCATGGAAATTAAACAAAAGAAGTCGCGTTCTTGCAGAGCTGACCAAGGAAATTTGGCGAATCCGGAACAACATTTTTTACAAGACTCTGTTTCAAAATTCTCTAGAACAAATAAATCGCCACAATCTGTTACTACTAACCAAAAATCCTCATCAGATACAAGGCAAAAAGTACCTAACACGTCAAAATATCAATTAAATATTCGTAAAAACCAGCAATGTTCTCCCGCTGATAACCCTACACCTTCACCACCTCCCAGTGCTAACGGCGGACTACTACAAGAGTTAACCTTTGATCAAAGCAAGGGCCAATTTTTATGGGCACCAGAAGGATATCAAGGGGTAATTATTAAGCATCTTCTCAAAATACTATATATTTGACTTGTCAAAAATATTAAACTTTTTTTTTTTTTTTTTTTTTTTCTTCTTTATTTTTTATCTAATTTAGAACTCAAAGAAACGCCGACTAAACGGTGGCTCATTAACATCGTCGAAGCCCTATGACGTAAAAGTGCCTAGACCCCCTAATGCCTTTATCATATATCATCGAACTAAATCCAAGGAGCTCGCAAAAATTAAGTCTAAAGCACGAACTGCATCCGACGAACGTCATCCGTCAAAAACAGTGGCAGAGATGTGGAGAGAAGAATCTGAAGAGGTCAAGCTACAATATCAAAGGGAAGCTGACCTGGCTCTTGTGGAACATAAAAAGAAATATCCTTATTATAAATATAGACCAAAAAAAAAGGATAGTAAAAATAAATGTAGCATATCGTTTTCTTCAACAGATTCTGGAAAGGTATCCGACTCTGATGAATTAAAAGATGCCTCTCAAGTTCCTATAGAACATAGAAAACAGGCTTCGATGGAATCAGCTTTCTCTGTATTTGATTTACAATCACACAACGATCCAAAAGAGGAAAATGATTCAAATTTGGCCAATGCGATGTTTACGAACAAAAACTCTCCATCTCAAGCTCCTGATTTTCCTGGTGAGCAAGCACAAATGACCTACCAATCTCAATGCCCTAATTGTAGTACACATAACCGAGGATCCGAACAAAAGTGGGATTACCCACTTACTCAAGTATCATCCACATCAACAAATTTGCAATCAGGACTTTCAAATTCAGATTTTGATGCACTCTTATATTTATGCCAGCAATTCGACTTTATACACAATATGGAATTAATGCCGCCTGCAGATAGCCCTGTTACTCCGACCTTCTCGCCAGCAGGGAACGAAAATTTTACAAATTTAGAAAATCAATTTTCTTCCAACATTAATAGTATTAATGTTAATGTCCCAGCAGTTCAAACTACTTCTGCGGACATTATGGCAATTCCAATGTCTTCTGACGAGACAACACAATCGGCAACTAATTGGAATAATATTCAAAGATATATTATACCTTCTCAATCTACTTCAATAATAATGCCTCCACAAGCTCCACCACCAACGCCAACAAGCCCAGTTGAATTTTTGTCATGGACATCTCTTCCTAATACAAATATTGTAACAAACACCCCATCCCAGCTTGACAATCAACACCAAAATCTCCAATTGCCTGCACAATCTAATAATAATGTACATTTATCGTTACAATCTCATCATTCTAATTTTATTACATCGAACACTTCTCAAGCGGATTATAATTTTCCGACAACAAACTTTAATTTTCCATTGTAATGAAAAAAAACCAAAAATTTTAAATATATTTATTTATACATACAGTACATACATACAGTTATGATAGAATTTTAAATTGTACAGAACCCTCGTCGCCAATAAGGCAGTTTCATACAAAACTTTAGAAATTGCGAAAAAAAAACTAAAAAAAAAAAAAAAAAAAGGAAAAAGGAAAAAAAAAAAAAAATGGTTTTTGATGTATAAAACCACTTATGTTTTTTATTCATAGCTTTCTAAGACGATGATATGATATAGATTTTTTGTATCTTTATTTTTGATGACAAATTATTTTTGTCATTTCTTTTTGTATCTACATTCTTTTTCTTATTTTTTTTATTTTTTTTTATATATATAGTATATATACATACGCTTGTAATAATTTTTTGAAAATAATTTTTTCTATATAGTATATACGTTTGTAATAATTTAAAAAAAAATTATATATATATAGTTTACTATTACATTTTGTAATATTTTAAATCTTTGTAAAAAAAAAAAAAAAAAAAACTAAACTAAATGAATAAAGAAATACAGTAAATAAAACTCTAAAAGATTGGAGAATAGGAAAAACTACATATAATGAGAATATATATTAAGAATAAAAAATTAACTATATGTTACTTATAAATGAGTATATTATTACGTATAATTATTTAACTTCATTCAGAAAATCTACAGTTTTATTATTTTAAAGTTGGGGAAATAATTCCGAGGATGCTTTTGCATTAATAAATGATTAAATACAGTAAATAAAATGTTCTATACTTCAATAATATCGTATTAAAAATTGTGCATATAATAACTAATTGCAGTATATATGCTCACTTCAACCCAAGGAGTTATTATATGTTTGGATAAATTTATACAATAACTAACCAAGAACAAAAGGTACTTATTAAACTGATATTAAATGACACAAAGTTATCTTCTCGCGCCTTTTTCCTTTTAATGATACTTTTTTTATCTATGTAGATTTAAATTACAGTACCATGTGGCATATATGGCATATATGGCTATACGGAGGTTCACTACTTTTATTCCCGCCAACACTTTTGTCACAACAAAAAAAACAAGTTATATATTGTATACACTCACACAAAGTATGTTTATTTTCTAACTCGATGAAATCACTTAATGTTAAGGGGTAATAAATTTATCCCTTTCCACAAAAAACCTTATTTATTTTCTAATCCCCGGTTTATCAAGATTCTAAACTTTTGGTAAATTTAAGATTTATCTTGTAAATCTCATTACATATATGATACACAGGACATGAAATATGCAGGGATTGTTTTTTGTTTATAAAAGATTAACGTTAAACGTTATAATATTAAACTACAAATTTGGATTTAAAGCATGGGAGTATATCGATGATAAATAAACAAGGTAAAATTCACCAGTACATATTGTAAGATTTATAAGAAAAATTTTATCTCAAAATTTTAAAATTATAATTAATCTTTAAAATTTTGTAAGTTAGGTCTTAGATTAGTTTTTGAGGGGTTGAACCATTTTTACTCAATACCCCAAACACTCAATTGTCTAAGCTATTTTGAGAAATAATATACCCCAGTGAATTTCACCTACGCGAACGATACAAGTTTTGATAATTGAAGAGAAATAATTATTTCGAGAAATTTTTATCAAAAAAAAAAAGTGTATATACATCGTAAATCAAATTTTACTACAGAATAAGGTCTTTTTGTTTTTTTTTAAATAAATAAATTTAGATTCATACCATTTGGAAAATTTATTTTATGTAAATTACGTAAATTAACATGTATTTATGTGTGCCTAAACTGCCCATCTTAATAAAAAATTATTCCGGTATTTAGTCAGCCGAAATTAGTTCTTCATAGTTGCCAAAATTAAATTTTATGTTTGCCAAAATTATTGACAAAATTCTTTGAACTCTTTTCATCAAAATACGTCATATAGTATAGTTATTTCTGAGGTTTCATATAAAAATAATGTAGTAATATCAAAGTGTTTGCCAAAAATATTTCTTTTTAAAAATAATTTAGGCACAAATATATATTAACATGGTTGTTCAATGATTCGCCAAAAGGTTATCTATAAAAAATTTTTATCAATATACTTTAACAACTACATATTAAGTTATACCATCGATATGACCAGACACAAATTTAATTTATTTAGTGAACAGAATATTAAATGTATTGAGAAAGAAAGAATAATTACTGTAACACATTTATTTTTCTTCACATATTATTTATTACTTTAATTAAAAATACTAGGTTTCAGGGCCCGAGCATTGCTCCGGGTGCTAGTCTTTAAATTCTATTAGTTTTAAAATAAATAAAATAAAATTTCATTGGTTTTTTATTTTTTATATAGTTTAGATATAAAAATTTGTTTAATATTATAAAATTAAAGTTTAATATTATATTTTACTTTAGATCAGAGTTTAAGTATTGTTTAGATGCTAGTTTGTAACTTTATTAGTTTTAAAATTAATAAAAATAGGTTTATTAGTTTTTAAAGTTAATAAAAAAGTAGTTTTATTAGTTTTAATTTATATTATATATATAGTATTGTAGTTAAATTTATTTTTATTTAAGGACATTTTTAACTTGCGCCAGTGGTTAAGTTAACCATTGCAATATAAAATCATAAATATCTCAAAATTTTATTATGATAACTAGCATTTGACTTCTAAATAAAAAATTCCAGCTCATAATTTTACATATATACCTATATCCCTACCCTAACCCTAACTCTAACCCTAATCTCTAACTCAAACTTTTTAATAAAGAATAATTGATAGTTAATATTAACCACACTATTTTTTTTTAAAAAAAACAACTAATGGTTAACGTTAACCACTGGCACAAGTTATAATAATTCTTTATTTAATTTAGATTTTTTTTTTAAACAAAGTTATAATGCTTTATAAGAAATTTGTTTCTATAATTTTTCTGTGTTTTTTTATAGTTTAAAGAAATAACTCTATGTTCTAATATATTATTTTTATTTAAGATTTATAACTATATATTATATAGAGATATTATATTTTGCATTTCAATAAAGCTACAATTAGCTACAATACAATTTTAGTTATTGTTTATTTAAAGATTCTATCTGCAGATTATCTGTTAACTACTATATCTAAGATATGTTTATAGATCTTCTATTTAAGTTTTTTAATTTTTAATATTTTTATTATTATTAAAACTGCTTTTTTCTCATATATCAATTTACATACAAAATAAAAACTGAAAAAAAGAAAAAAGCTACAAAAACTACTAACAAAAAATTATATTTTTATAATAAATAACTAGTCATAACAAGACTACACTATCTCTACTACAAAATAATAATAATAAAGAAAAGAAGAAGCAAACATATTACAATTATAAAACTAGTAACTCTTACTAGAAAGTTGTTGACTATGTTAGCAACATATTCTCTCGATAATACTACCTTTAGTTCTTACAATACTCTCTTAACTAAAAATAATTCAGATGAGAATCAGTACAACAATAGATATCTAAAAAAGAAAAAAAAAGAAGATAAAAAAAACAAAAAAATAATAATAAAACTAATACTATTAAAAATAAAAATTCAAATATCCTCAAAGAAAAAAAATAAAAAAAGCAAACAATCTAGTTTACTTTTGACAAATACAATAACAGTACATAATTAGACAAAAAAATAATAAACTAAATTAGTCTATATATCTAATATAGATTCTGTAAATGAATTTTCTAATTTAAAAGTATAACAAACTACAATTACATTTCATAATCTATTACAAAATATAGATCTAATTATAAATAATAGATCAACAGAAACTATTACAGATATTCTCATATCTCTATAAAGTTATAGCTAAGTATTAATAAGAACTCAAGAACTAAATAGAATTCTTCATTCTGATTTAATTAGACTTATTAATAACTAGACACAACAAGTTTATCAAGCTCTATTAGCTCTTAAAGAACAACTTTTTAATAAACAACTTTAGAATAACTAAAAAATTGTAAATGCTTTTTCAAGCTTTAACAAAATTAAAGAATTAGTTTAATATAAGCTACAAACAAAACTTATAAAAAACTCTATTTTATTAGCAATCAATACAAAACAATATTACTAAGATAAAGCTTTTTTCTAGTCTTTTACTAAATGATAAGATACTCATTCACCTTATTAAATAGAGTATTAATAACTCTTAATAGCTATAATTGAGAGATATAAACAATAGCATAATGCAATTATAACTAATAACAATAACAAAAAACAAATTTTAAATATACTATGAAAGAAGATTACAATAGATTTCTGAACTAATGAAGAATACTTACTTTTTGATACTTATAAAATTACTTAATATATTCTATATATTATAGAGTTTGTAAAGATATCTATAAAACAAAACTTCAAATTATTAAAAGAAGAAATCTGCAAACTACAACTAGCTTAGTTGTAAACTCTATCACTCATACTAAATAATATATCAAAAGAGATTAGAACAAGTTTGTTATTCTCTTTGCTAATTGCAAACTGAAGAAATATATATGCAGTAGTAGTAGTATTTCATTGTATCTATACCTTTAAATGTTTACTAAATGCTTATATCTCTAATATAAGAATACAACTATTTGTATTTCTATACTTGTTAAATACTGAGACTAGAGATATATTTTTGATTATTTCTTATACAGAACTTAAAAAACTTAAAGATATACAAACAATATTTTTATAAATACTATTTGTTTTATACTATTTCTCTAGACTACTTTAGTATACTACTATCTAAATTATCTTTACTATTAATACTACAAGATCTAATCTCTAGACTTTGTGAAATCTTTCTTTTCTACTCTAGAAATACAGAATACTTCAAAGACTATATTTATCTATTAAGACAAGAATATGCTTTTAAAATACTACTTAATGACTATTTTATTAATAAAAGATAGCTTCCTACTAATCTTATATCATTACTTCTCTCAGAACAGTTTTCTTTCTTAATAGAA